CACTCTGAAGGAAACTCGACTTGAGCGAGAGAGCCGTTCCCTATATGCTCTGTTCGGTGGGAGATCGACGATGAGCCGTCAGTCAACTACAACGAATATATGAGCTCCTAGTGGGACCTGATTGATGCTCTGAGGTTCATAATCGCTCGTACGAGAGGCTGTACTAATGTGTCAACGCTTCGCATGCACGAATCGACTATTGAACGGAGCCAAAGCTACTCGTATATAGGGGTAGACCAGCTAGCTGTAGACGTGTATAGAATATTGCATCTACCTTGTATGATAGATCTGAATATCCCGAAGTCGATGTATGCCAACAGCAACAGGCTGGCTTCGAGCGTTGTCTGTACGAACTTGAATCTCGAAGAGCATTACCGATAGAATCGAGTGCGATGTCTATACCGCGCTATATGACTGTGAAAAACGGGGTTTCATTAAAACTACTAGCTATTGCTTCTCCCTTTGCCCGAGGCAGTCCGTAAGTGTGACATTCATTCTAGTCGAAAGCGATACTAGAGACTCGTTATGTCCAGCGATGATGCTGTCTACTCTAATTTGAAACAATAAAACAGGCGATGGGAGGAGAATCTACTATATATTACTGAATCAGTCTCTATTCCTAATTTCCTCTGCTTCAAAGCTCGTTTCGACTTGTGTTTAGTGAGTGGCGGTGATAACAGCCCATGTAGCCGAGCTGAGTAACAGAGAGTCACGCTGTGACCATCCACGTCTCCCCCAACCATCGATGTCGCGGGGGCGACAAAGACGACGAAATGCGGCCCCCGACGTCTGGATACAAGACGACGACACCCCCAGCACTCCTCGGGACACGAGTCCCACAACCAGCAACAGCAATTGGGTCCGAACTCGGTTCATAGATGTCAGCAGAGACAGTCGCGGTCGTCCCACTGGGTCTGAAACCATCATCTCCAATCAGATCATGAATCCGACCGTTCACTCGTCGTCAAATCCCTCTCAGTCGAATCCTTCAACATCCACCAACCCTAGGCTACCTTTTCCAACCCCATCGTACGCCATCGCCGACCAAGATTACCCATCGATGGAGTGGACCGATTACGGTGTCGCTGATTCTGGGGCCGCTGTTTCTGATCCCCACAACAATGAAATTACTCATTCTGGCACTTCACAATCAAAGCAGCGGGTATGTGATATGGCTTTTGTAAAGTTTTCGTTACTAATCTTCCCCTCTTTTTCTCAAGGTGAAGCCTCTCGCGGAATGGGCAGCTCACCGCGAGGCTATACTAGGCGAATTATTTCGTCGAGATGCCTTTCTTCCCAAGACTCACAACACAATGCCGTGCTGTGAATCTTGCTTCAAGGACGCGGACATTCAGCCGAGCACGGGCGAATATCGATGCCTCGATTGCCAAGGCAGTGGAGTCGTGTGTCAGAAGTGCATCGTTCAAGACCATCACCTTCTTCCTTTGCATCGTATCCAGGTAAGTCTCACCGTCCTTTCATCAGATCCGAAGAATTGAGTTCATGAACAGCGATGGAACGGTCAATTCTGGGAGAAGAGTTCTTTGAGCGCCGCCGGTTTGACTATTCAATTGGGCCACGATCGTCTCTCTTCCTTCTGTCCTCATCCTATCAATCGCCGTCGACTCCTCACCGTCATGCACTGCAACGGCATCCACCACGTCGAAGCCCTTTTCTGCGGCTGCACTCGTGTAGAGGAGCGATCATTCACGAATCAGCTGCTACGCGTAGGGTGGTTTCCCGCTAGTCTCCAAAGACCTGCATCCGCGTTCACCTTCGAAGTTCTGGACTTGTTCCACGAACTTTCGGTTCAAGGGAAAGTGAGCGCGCATGACTTCTACCGAAGCATCGTACGAGTGTCGGATAATACGGGACTTGTTTCTATCAACGTGAGTGACATCAGCTGTGCGACTGCGTACTTTAACTGACCTCTACTTTCCACAGCGACGATACGATGAATTTCTGTTCATTACAAGATATTATCGACATCTTCTCATGCTCAAGCGTGCGGGAAGGGGTCATATCAACAACGGCATCGCTTTAACCGGACCTGGCGAGCTAGCTGTACAATGTAGTACATGTCCCCACCCCGGAATCAATCTACCGAATGACTGGGAAAGTGCGGGAGCAGAAGACGCGTAGGATGATGTTTTTCCCGCTCGATGTTGTATGCTCAATCTTGTATCTAGCTGGTTGTACCGTTTGATGTTGGCTGAAGACGCCAATTTTAGTCACAAAGAGAAATTTCGCTTTGGCGGTATTCATCGTGATATCGACTTCGCTCCCGGCTGGACATTCTTCCCGTGTGACCGGTTGTTCAAATTGTTTTTGCTAGGCTATCCCGCCACACAAGAGGTGCGTAATCATCCTTTATCATCTTCGATGGTCGCTGACGTGTCTGGCGGTCCAGAAAAATAAATGCAAATCCAATTTTCAGGCTATTGAGAAAGCGGACACGATGCTCAATAAGGGATATTCTGCGACCGGTATTGGGACTGTGGTCTGTGGAAGAACTGGTATGGTTTTACCGAGGGGTGTGACGAATTTGCAGAAGGGAGAACGGTGAGTAATGATCGTTTGACTTCATCTCTCGTACTGATCAGACGCGCCAGATACGTCAACATGGATTTCGCATTATTCGCTTCTCTTTGGGGTTCTCGTGTCAAACAAGTCGGTCTTTCCTACGATATCGCCTGCATGTGGCACGTCAATCTGCGTCTGCGTGAAGAACATTACCCTCCCTGTATGCGACTCGGCCTCATGAACCTCAAATTCTATTTCTTCATCCCCAAATTCCACATCCTCGCCCACGGAGAAGAATGTCAATCCAAATACTCGCTAAATCGACGACCTCATACCGCACGCTTCGACGGAGAAATCATCGAACGACATTGGGCAAACTCTAATGCCGCCGGACCAAGTACGGCGGAGATGACCCCAAACGCGCGTCGAGAAACATTGGAAGACATGTGGAATTCGTCGAATTTCCATAAGATCGTTAACATGGGTAGGTTTCTCGACCTTATCCCTGATAGTTCACTCGCTGACGCTTACAACCCAGGATCCTCGTGCTTGAAGAAACTCGAAGAAGCCCTGCCTATGCGCGAGAAGCATGAACAGGCTTTCAAAGAGTTCTCTCTGACCTTCTCGCGCGAGACGATCGATAAATGGACCAAAACTATCGTCGAGTGGGAAGCAGATCCTGATTCGGTTCCGGACCCCTTCATCGTCACTACCAGTATGTCTTCTGTTCTTCATTTCCTTGTTCGCTCTGACCTCCGAGGCAGCGACCAACCTGGCGACGGTCAGACAAGAGTTAGCCGCCTCCGACGAACGAGAAGCAGCTCAAGGCAATACACCGTACCCCTCTCTATACGTCGGCGCTTTCCTCGAACTCGGAATGCAATTGGAAGAGCAACAGTGAGTCGGAACCGGATCTTAGCAATGTAACGCTGATTGAGTCATGCAGAACTGTTCTTCAAGGATTGAAGAAGTCGGACAAAGATGACGATGTGTCGGCAGACATAATTGAGAAGCGCCGTCTCTATCGACCACGATTGCAGAAGTTCAGAGCGGCACAAGCGGTCTATATGCCCGGTTCTCAAGCTATCTTGGAAGACTCACCTGACACATCAAACGTCGAAGACGAACTCATTCTTCTACCGTCATCTCTGACCGCTCCCGTTCGTTCTACCGCGTGTCTTCCCAACCTCCCTCAGAAGGAACTCCAGCTCCGCGTTGCTCAAGGTCATGCAGCTCTCGACACTCTTCGCAAGCTCCTCCGAGTCCAGAGCGATTATACGCTACATCGTCGTCAGAATATTCACGGCCAGCGTGCGCTCACGCAATCCCATCACGTTCTGGCGGCTTTTGAGAAGAAGATCACAAGAGCCGCAGAGCGGTATCGTGCTGCTTACAAAGCCATTCTCTCTCTCGACAATCGCGCCAGTCATTACCTCGCTGAGCACGGATTCCAAACATTGAAGAAGCAAGATGTCAAGGGTCCCCGTGTCGACACAACTTTTGACAAGCAGTCATCAAGCGCGAGGCGAAGGGTTCCTACCGAACATCTGGGGGAAGGATATCGCGATCTTACATGGATTTGGAAGCAATCTGGAGGAAATCACGCGCTCGACGCATCAGACGAGGAATACGTGGAGTGTGCGTATCTTCTGGCGATCGTAATGATTTCTGCTGACCCGAAATGTAGCGATGAGGTCGGAATGGATGAAGTCGCGTGCAAGAGCTGGTCGTTGGGGCGAGGAGGTGCGGCAGGTGGTGGAAGATATGAGGAGGTGCTTGAAGTATCATACATGGAAGGCGGGTTGGTGGCGAGAGCGGAGATCGTTGAGGACGCATGATGGGATCGGCGCGAAGCAACGTGAAACGTCAGAGGCTGTGCGGGCAGGACTATTGGCATACGCGGAGAAGCAGGCGAGGATGTGGGAAGCAATGGCAATGCGGTTCGCGGGTATGTGGCAACCATTGCTCTGGAAGGGCAAATACTCGTTTGATGATTGGTCTGAAGCACATCGCCACGCCCCTGCCTACTTCCCCGATACTCGAGCGCGCAAACGTTTCGAGGCCCTCTCTGACGTCCCCCTCATCACTCCTTCCCCACCCGCACCCTCATCAGTCGCCGTTCACCCACCAGCTGCAGCTATTGCCTCAACTTCATCGATCTCACATTCACATCCATCCCGAACGACCGCGTCTTCGGTTACTCCTGCAGCTCTTACCTCAACCCCTTCGTCCAGCGTACCACCCTCGGGAGAAGGAAGGGATGGACTGAGCGACGACGACGATATCTACGCCGAAGATAGTAGTGATGATGACGATGACGAGTATTGAGATTTATAATGTGTATATGATGCAGAGCGGGATCTCCTGTAGTCCAAGTCCTATAAGTCCGAGCCGGTGAGACTTGAAGGAATTTTCAATGTCGTAAGTCTAAATTGTTGCGGGGGGTATATAATTTTGAAAAGGCGAGAGCCTATAACGCTGTAGTGGTCTATCGGGAAGAATGTGGGATTTAGTTCCGTAGGTCGCAGGTTCGATTCCTGCGTCGGCCTTTTTCCAAGGCTCGCAACTTAATATTTCTTCGGTGTAAGTTACCCTCAAGGGTATATATACTACAATGGTCCTTTATGTATAACTAGACCGTGTAGTAGAACGGGTTGAGCGTCATGGGCAGCCATGATGGTCCCCAGTTCAAACCACGGGTATGCATTTTTGAGGAGTCCCTTGGACCGAGGCATTTCTGCTGGAGTCCAATACCTTCTGTCTGTCCTCAAGTAAAACTTTAGGCATTAAGAGTCCCGTGCCTTTGAACCCGAGCTGTGGCTTGTCCCAGACCCGAGGTAAAATGCAAAGTATTCCTGATGTCTGGCCATCTACCCTTCTCTCTGAGATGTCCTCTGAGAGGGGTAGGTGTTCCAGACAGACAAAGGTAAAAAAAACAGCTAGCCCAATACCAACCTGGGCATTGAAATGGCTGTCTGGAACACCTATCGTATGTTGGCAGTGGTGGAGATGTCCGTAAACAAGAAACGATCCTGATTTACGGACACTGGACA